GACAAAAACCAGTGGTCAGAGCAAGGCACGTTGCAAGCTCCCAGTTCTACTCCATTTAGTGTGTTCATAAACTGCAAGTCCTGAGAACCTGAGGGGGACAGCAAGGGGAAATTAAATGATTTTCCAAATGCTTCAAGATGTGCCAAGCTGATGGCACAATACAGAGCTTTTACTACTGTTGGGAGATGTTTGGCATAGAGATGTGGAAAGGGTTGACAGAAGCTGAGTCCCTTGTTTCCAGGCAGTCACTTCTCCAAGAAGCCTCTTTCTAGAAGGGATTCACCCCTACACACATGGGCATGATACATAGCTCCATGTAGTCTGCTGAGATGAACCAGGAGGCCAGACAGACCATGAGAGTGGTAGATGTAGTCCACACTAAACCACCTTTCCCGAACTGAGTATTGATGTTATGACATGAGATTGCATTGACTGGGCTAATAAGAACTGGTACCTTCTGCCCCAACTCTTTACTTGTTATTATTGTAGATCGTAGAGACATATTTAAGGACATAGTACACTTTCCATACTGCATAATTCCTTTTTAAGGACCCATAGTAATCAGCCAACAGATATTTATTGAACATATAGGCCAGATATGGTACTAGTATTAGGAATAAAGCAGTGAACAAGGAAATTACATGAATCAAGCTTACGATACAAAGAAGAGAAACTATTACCTTAGTTCTCTACGTCAAGCAAAGTTGTCAATCTCCTGAGCAACTTTCCTTCTTTACAATGCCTACTAGGAAGCTCAGAGTCAATTTTTGGACTTATTGCCCACACCTACATAAACTGAAAGAAAAGTGAAGTCGCTCAGTTGTGTCCGACCCCACAGACTGTAGCCTACCAGGCTCCTCCGTCTATGGGATTTTCTAGGCAAGAGTACTGGAGTGGGTTGCCATTTCCTTCTCCAGGGGATCTTCCCGACCCAGGGATCAAACCCGGGTCTCCCACATTGTAGGCAGATGTTTTTACCATCTGAGCCACCAGGGAACTGCATAGGACCTCATGAAATGAACTGTCGTGCAGACCATATGCCTGGCTTCACGTTATTTTCCCCTTTGATCAATTTTCTTGTGTTTATCTTTGTGGGCTACCTCACATTCCTGCTAAATGTTTATTAGCAGGATAATATTTTTTTAATATTATTTTTTGAATGTGGGGTTATAATTAAATAATCATAAAAGAGATCAGTGGTTATGAGTAAGCAGCCCAATCAGTGTTAGTGTGAGATAATAAGAAATATACATATATTGGTCTATGGCTCTGATTCCAGGCACAAGACTCCTAAAACCCTTGCAATTTCCTAAGTGATAAGAGTATTACGGACTTCTCTGGAGGTCCAGTGGATAACACTTCACCTTCCAATGAAGGGAGTGAGGGTTCCACCCCTGGTGGGGGACCTAAGATCCCACATGCCTCTGGACCAAAAACCAAAACACAAAAGAGAAGCAATATTGTGACAGATTTATTTATTTTTATTTATTTATTTATTTATTTTTTAAGTGAAGCAAATGTTTTATTGAAAGAGACTTTAAAAATGGTCCAAACCAATAAAAAAAAAAGTACTAGGAGCATCTTTTGTTCTGTTGAAGTGACTCTGGGTGGGCTCCCGGATGGGGGCTGGTCACCAGAAAAACCAAGTCACATTAGAAAGAATGAATTTCCCCACTAGTCTCCATCTTCCAGTGAGGGAAGAAGGGCTGGAAATGGAGTTAATTATTGGTCATGACTATCTGAGAGGACTCCATACTTTGCAACAGTAAGGGTTTCAAAGAACCTCACGCTGGTGAACATGTGTTGGTGCTGGGAGAGGGGTGAGCCTACAGGGGGCATGCAAGCTCCATGCCCCTTCCCACATACCTTGCCTTGTGGATCTCTTCCATCTGGCTGTTCATCAGTATTCTTTATCATATCCTTTTATAATAAATCAATAAAAGTAAGTAAACTTTTCCAGAGTCCTGTGATCCATTCTAGTACATTAATTGAACCCAAGAAGGTTGTGGGGACCTCTTACTTGTGACCAACTGGTCAGACCGCAGATGATAATCTGGATTGTGATTGACATTGCACATGGGGGCAGCCTAGTAGCCCTGAACTCTAAATCTCTGGGATCTGACACTCTCTCCAGGCAAACAGTGTCTGCATTGAGCTAATTTGCTGGACACCCAGTTGGTGTCACAGAATCCACACATTTGGTGAGCTGCAGTGTCAGAAGGGAAGTGAGTAGGAAAGTGTTTTGCAGAGAAGAAAGACCTGGGGCGGGGGTGGGGAAACTGTGGGCTGTTCTCATCCAGCTGGTGATAGATAATGCTTGGTGGGGATGGGGGTGGTTAGGGGGTGGGGGTGGAGGTGTGTGAGTGGTGAGGTGTGTGAGTGGTGAGGTCTGGTGTTGATGAAGAGCTAGAGTTCCTCAGGATGACTGGGGGCTACATACTAGAATTTAAAGGTGGAAACTCAAAAGAATTCCTTCATAATCATAACACTACTTAAGCTATTTCCTTTTTTGACAGATAAGGCAACCCGCGACCACCCCCCCACCCCCACCAACCTCCACTCTGGTCCCCCACACCTTGAACGTGACCATTTTGTTTCCATTTTTAAACTAAATTAAGCACAATTGTTTACCTCTGGAGGTTCTTGAGCTCTATAATGGGTTCATGAGTATTCATTATACTATTTGAAAGTGAAAGTGAAGTCGCTCAGTCGTGTCTGACTCTGCGACCCCATGGACAGTAGCCTACCCGGCTCCTCCGTCCATGGGATTTTCTTGGCAAGAATACTGGGGTGGGTTGTCATTTCCTTCTCCAGGAGATCTTCCCAACCCAGGGACTGAACCCGGGTCTCCTGCATTATAGGCAGACGCTTTACCGTCTGAGCCACTAGGGGTTAGGACTCATTTAATAGTCATACTATTTTAAAAAATACTTACACTATTTAAAACCATATAAAAAAGAAACGGGCAACCCTTGAACTAAAGATGTCAATGTGTTTTAAATCAAGGATTTTGATGAATCCAACTCTGTGCACTCAAGTTCCATTGGAAATATGTATTTGCTGAAACGATGAGTGATTGAGTGGATCTTGGTGCCCAGTGGTAGGCATTCCCCAGAGGTGAAGCTGTGGGTTCACAGGGACACAGACAGGCCTGGCCAGATACTGGCGAGGTAACCCAGCCTTATGCTGTCTCCCAATTCAGACCACAGAAGAAGGTCTGGGAAAAGCTCTCTGCCACATTCCACAGACTGGGCACTGGGCCTACAGCACCCCAGAATGTTAGACCTCCTCTCTGTCCAGGATTAGGTAAATGCCGCAGCAAGATTCCAACAGCAGTTTCCTTTCCACATCCCAGACAGCAGAGAGTAGACTGAGGAGCTTCATGGAAAAGACTCAATTGCAGTAAATTCAACACTGAGCTGAAATTAAGGATAGCCCTGAAATTAGGGATATTCCTGACTGGCTCCTCTGGCAATGGACTTACGTGACTTCTAATAAGGCTTGGTCATTACTATGCTAAAGGGATACGTGGATTAAACAAAAATGAAAGGACTTCCTGAACCAATGTGGGAAGGGAAGGCATTATCATGTTTTTGGATGTCATCAGTCATGACGGAGTTTGGCATTAACCATTACATGGTGCAAAACGGTAAACTATTTGCAAGCAAGGAGAGTGGAGATGCTGGAGCCTGTGAACTGATGTCAGCTGAGCATTCCCTGCGGGGATGTCTGGCAAATGGATTCACTCTTTTGCCAACTTTGGGAAAGTGTTACAGAATTGCAGACAAAATGGTTTCTATGCAAACAATGGTTTTAAAAAGGGTCCTTACGTCAAATACCTGCAATTCACTGAGCTTTCTAACCACAAAGCCAGGGACAAAATTTTAAATATTAGAAATTATTTTTCTCAGAACCAAGTTGAATACTAACCTCGAAATTTCCTTGCCTTCCAACTACCTCTCTGCCACTCTTCCCTGTGTCAGTATCATGTCAGTTTTGTGGGGAAAGAGCAGAGGGAAGGAGGGAGAGGGGTAGAGACTGCAGGGGAAGGGAAGTGGGCAGGCCCAGAAATGGAGAGATGGGAAGTCACTCCATGAAACTCTCAACTGTCTGTAAACAGGGCTTAAAAACCTATGTCTAGCCTGACATGCTCCCAGGGGAAAGGCCACTCTGCTATGTATAAAATTCCACCTTCATGCTCCCTCCCTTCATTTCTAAAAAATCTGTCCTAGAAATGTCTTATCCTTACACTTTATCAGAACCATAGAGAAAAAATTCTGAACTCTACCCGTGGCTTTCTGGATATTTCTGTAAACGAGGCTAAATCAAGTTCTTGGAACATTTTCTACCTGAAAATTCCTATGAATTAAGTCACTTTCTAAAACTCCTTGCACTTCAGGAAGTACTAAAGTAAGTACTGATTCGTACTTCAGTAAGACTCACTGAAGGATAATGGCGCAAACAACAATGTTTTAAATTTAGAAGTAGCTTCTGGCCGAGAAAGGCTGCCCCACATAGTATAAAGATAAAAGTGCAGCAATTTTGTCAAACTTCTAAAAATTCCTTCAGGACAGGAAGCAGCAAAATGCCTCCAGGAGATCAGTTACCAGCGGACTTTCAGGCTCAAGAACCTTCGGGATTCGGAGCGATTCAGCCCAGGGCTCTCAAGTGGGGATTAATCATTTGGGCATCTAACTAACTCCTCATCACCATTCAAATACAAGAGGCTATTATAAGTGTCCCCATTTTGTGGCTGAAAGTCAGCTATGGCTTAGTCTCTGTTGGTAAGAGAAAGAGAGGGGGAAGGGGGGCTGTTCCTCATTATCTTAAAAAAAAAAAAGGTACTTAAACCTAAAATGATCTACTTTCAACAACTGCGTTTCCTTTTGGGTCATATCTTTTGATTGCGTCTCTAAAATCACGAAGCAAAACAAGTATTTTTGTAAATTGGAACAGAGTCACCCCCGACCCCCCATCACCCCAATTCCTGAGGACATCAATCACAGCGGGCGCGTCATTAGGAGCGGAGATGCCGAGGGCGTCTGCTGGGGGCGTAATAAAACCAGAGAGGCCCTCTCCATAGTTGGAGGAAAGCGGGGAGAAGACGCCCCGCCGGCACACTCCTCTGGAAAACTGAAGCTTCTTCTTTGACCCCGGGGCCAGAAAGATTTATTACTTCCTTGGTGAGGGAGAAGCCTCAGGCCAGATGGAATGGGCGCCCCGGGAGTGGGCAGCCCAAGAGCGGTGTCGGAGTCCTCGGTGCGCTCCGAGGCGCGGGTGCGTCCTGGGTTCCTACGGGGAGCCGGCGGCGCCGACCTGGGCGGGGCAGAGCGGAGTGGGAAGCCACTGGGGGATTTCTGCCCAAACTTTGTCACCAACTCTTTCCGAGAGCAAAAATGTGCTGTTGAGCCCGGCAGCAGCACACACAAGAATCCAAGTTTCCCAGGGGTCGGGCGCCGTACCCCGAGCGCTCCGAACCCCGCATCCGTACTCTGGCGCTTGGAGCTAGGATGGCTACGGCCTCAGCCGAGCGGATGGAGGCCCAAGCAACGCCGCTGTAAATCGGGCCCCGCATCTTCAACCCCCAAGGCGGCGGCAGGAGCTGGGCGCTGCGAGGGGGCGGGCGGCGCGGCGAAGGGGAGGAGCCGCAGCGACAGACGGCGGCGCTCACCAACCCGGCGCAGGCTGGCAGGAGCCGCGCAGAGGCTGATCCGAGCGCGTTGCAGCCGCTCGGCGTAGGGAGAGGCGCGTAGCTGCATCCTCCTGGGCGCCGCTTTCGCGCGGCAGCTGCTGCGGCGGCGGGGGTTTTCTCTGCCCGGATTCCTCGTTGGCCAGAAGAGCCTGGTGCCGGGGGCTGGACGGGCAAGAGAGCGCTGCAGACCCCAGTTCCTTTGCCTAGAGCTGTGTGTATGTAGGGGGTTTCCGGGCCAGTCGGAGGCTGAGAAGCGGCGGGGGCTGCCGGCAGTGCCCTCCCGGAGGGCATCCTCCTGGTGATGGAAGAAGCGGCTCCTGCCGCCGCGGCTGCAGGGTCGTACTGCGCCCCATCTGCCACCGCCAAAGAAATGGGAAGATTCGGGGCGCGGAGACTGAGAGCAAGAGAGGCGGAGCTGCTTTGCCGGGAACCGGGTCCAGTATAAGCCCCCTCCCCCCCGTCATCTCCCTCGGCCAGCTTCATCCCCCAGAGCGAGGAAGGAAGCTACAGTCCCGAGAGGGCGGCGGAGACGCCGCTGGAGCCGGGCGCCCTGAACTCGGCAGAGCAGAGAGCAGAGCTCCGGGCCCGGTGAAACTTTCCCTTCCCCAGCCGCAGGGCGCCCGCTGCCAGAAACTCTGCTCAGGGCTTGGGCTGCCAATTCGCGCGGCCCCCCTCGGAGGCGCGGGGACCCCAGGCGGAAAACAGCTCTCGAGAAATCGAGGAACGAGTGACAGGACTGAACGCCAGGCCGTGCTCCTGGGCCGCCCGGGGGCGCGCCCGCGGCTCCAGGTGAGCTGGGGAGCCAGGCAGACCGGAGGGTGGGCGTTACTTAGCGGGAGGAGGCGCCTGGGGGGAGATTTGGGGCGCACCCCCTTACTCCGCTTCCCCTCGCAGGTCCTTCTCGGAGCCGCTGCCATGGGAGAGCCAGTCTTGGGCGCCGGGGACCAGCCGCCGCTGCTGCCGCGCCCGCCTCGGAGCCGCGGCCCAAGTCCCAGCGCCCGAAGCAGGGCCGCTGAGTCCCCCTCCCGGGTTACAGGGCCGCCTCCGCCGCGCTGCGGGCCCGGGTTGTGCCTGTGATGAGCCGCAGCCCGCCGCGAGCCCTACCCGCGGGCGCGCCCCTCGGGTTGCTCCCAGCCGCGCCCGCCACCGGGCCGCGCGCCCTGCTCCCGCCGTGGCCCCGGCGCCTGGGTCGCCGCTGGCCTGCGTCCCCGCTCGGAATGAAGGTGTTCCGCAGGAAGGCGCTGGTGCTCTGCGCGGGCTACGCGCTGCTGCTGGTGCTGACCATGCTCAACCTCCTGGACTACAAGTGGCACAAGGAGCCGTTGCAGCAGTGCAGCCCCGACGGGTCGCTGGGTGCCGCGGCGGGAGCGGCTTCGGGTGGCTGGGGGCGTCCAGGGCCTCCTGCAGCCGTGCCGCCCCGCGCACACACCCGCTTGGATCCCCGGACCCCATACCGCCCGCCCGCCGCCGCAGTCCCGGCAGCTCCGGCAGTCGCGGCCGGGGCGGCGAGGGCCGCAGCCCCTCCAGGTAATGGCACTCGGGGCGGCGGGGACAAGAGGCAGTTGGTGTACGTGTTCACCACGTGGCGCTCAGGCTCGTCCTTCTTCGGCGAGCTTTTCAACCAGAACCCCGAAGTGTTCTTCCTCTATGAGCCGGTGTGGCACGTGTGGCAGAAACTATACCCCGGGGACGCCGTTTCCCTGCAAGGGGCGGCGCGGGACATGCTGAGCGCTCTCTACCGCTGCGACCTCTCGGTCTTCCAGCTGTACAGCCCCGCTGGCAGTGGGGGGCGCAACCTCACCACGCTGGGCATCTTCGGGGCGGCCACCAACAAGGTGGTGTGCTCCTCGCCGCTGTGCCCCGCCTACCGCAAGGAGGTCGTGGGACTGGTGGACGACCGCGTGTGCAAGAAGTGCCCGCCGCAGCGCCTAGCGCGCTTCGAGGAGGAGTGCCGCAAGTACCGCACGCTGGTCATCAAGGGCGTTCGGGTCTTCGACGTGGCGGTATTGGCGCCACTGTTGCGAGACCCGGCCCTGGACCTCAAGGTCATCCATCTGGTGCGGGACCCCCGCGCTGTGGCCAGCTCACGCATCCGCTCGCGCCACGGTCTCATCCGTGAAAGCCTGCAGGTGGTGCGCAGCCGGGACCCCCGAGCCCACCGCATGCCCTTCCTGGAGGCCCCCGGCCACAAACTGGGTGTCAAGAAGGAGAGCTTGGGAGGACCGGCGGACTACCACGCGCTCGGCGCCATGGAGGTCATCTGCAACAGCATGGCCAAGACGCTGCAGACGGCCCTGCAGCCCCCTGACTGGCTGCAGGGCCACTACCTGGTGGTGCGCTACGAGGACTTGGTGGGAGACCCCGTCAAAACCCTGCGGAGGGTGTACGACTTTGTGGGGCTGTTGGTGAGCCCCGAAATGGAGCAGTTTGCCCTCAACATGACTAGTGGCTCAGGCTCCTCCTCCAAGCCTTTTGTGGTGTCAGCCCGCAACGCCACACAGGCCGCCAACGCCTGGCGGACCGCCCTCACCTTCCAGCAGATCAAACAGGTGGAGGAGTTTTGCTACCAGCCCATGGCCGTGCTGGGCTATGAGCGGGTCAATAGCCCCGAGGAGGTCAAAGACCTCAGCAAGACCCTGCTCCGGAAACCCCGACTCTGAGAGGGGTTCCGGGGAGACCTGACTCCCTGTGGAGACACCCACAGAAGGATTGTGGTGTGTTTCAACAAAATCAGCCCAGATCCAAACTGAGGAAGCCCACATATTCTGTTATAGATACATAATATAAATATACAGGCACTCACTGTCGATGTTTTGAGTCATGGAATTTCAAGAAACAGCCACAATGCACACACATCTCAGAAAAGGTAGAGACTTGAAAGTTCTGACCACAGCTGCCCTTCTCTCTCTCTACCTTTTCTTCCCCTCTTCCCTACCCGCCTTCCATTTTGAAGTGGGATGTTGATTAAATCAAGATCGGGTAACTGCAAATCTTGTTTACAAAATTTTCGTGGTATCTGTGAACGTGTGGAGGAGTCTTTGGATGTGGGGGCAGGGGTGGGTGGAGAAAGGGGAAGTGGTCCTGGAGCGAAAGCCCCATTGGGCATGCTAAACCAAGGAGGCATTCTTATAAAGTCGACTTTTATGTGAAAAGCAAAGGTCATACATGAGTATTAATAAAGAAGAGAATAAATAATATTCTTTTTTAAAAAAATTTGCCTCCATTACTCTGGATTTACCTGTGTTCCTTGTCCTGTGCAGCTTCAGACAGAAGCTTCCCTTGTTCCCACCCTCTTTCCCCCATCTGTTTCCTAGGAAACAGTTGAGATGGGTGGGAGCAGTCTCTGACTCGTTGATCCCTACCTTGGAGTTGTTTTCTCCCAAGTAAACCATAGCCTGTCCGGTGCCCAGGAATGGGAACACATCTTCGAATTCTGAAGGCAAAAAGCAAGCAGGGCAGTGGAGGAAAAAGCATGGCACTACTTTCCACTTGGGGCACAGAAAGGAAGAAGTAACCCCTTGAGGGTTTGAAGGCATTGGGTTTTGATTACCCTGGAGTTACACTGAGAAACCTTGAACCAGAGGCCGATGTTTTGGTCCTGAGTTTAGTTCAGAAACAGGATTTTTACTTAAAAGATAAGTATGTAGTTCAAAAACCATCTGATGGTGTGAACACAAACCTCAAAAATTAGTGTGAATGTTTTGTTGGCAATGGTAGTCAACAAGTTCTTTGGTTAGAAAAGTGACACGAGTATCTGAGTTTGGAATGTTTCTGCCTCTGACACAGTCCACGGAGGCACATGAAAAGGGAAGTTTTTGACCTGAGAACTGTAAGGGCGCCCACAGGCTATCCCCCTTACTCCGGGTTTCCTAGCCAAATTAATGAAAAGAGAATGTGAATTAATAATGGTTTACTGGATGCCTGTGGGGTACATTGCTTTTCTTTATCATGTTTCCTAAAAGTAAAATTGTGAAGTAGCTACATGTTCTGACATTATAAGGCTTCAACCAAGAGCTTTTAGATATGAAAATAAATTATGTGGAAGAGGAAATGAAAGTGAATTATGAGTTAGTAGGTTGGATTTTGGGATTTGGTATTTTCTAGGGGAAAAAAACCATTGCAGTTTTCCTGTAATGGTAATGGTGTTGCTGCCGTCCTGAGCCCATTTGTACTGAAGCATTCTGCAGAATATTGTATTATGATATAAAGTTATGAAGCCTAAATAGGAACGAGAGTGTAGTTATATATTACATTAAATACGGTACAAGTTTAAGTTCATCGTAGCTATTTTACTGTAATTTATTGTGAGATTTGTGCAAGCCAGTCTGTACAGGTTAAATGCTGAGGGTTTTATTTTAAGGAAAATAGAATGAAAAGGAATATGTACATGGGAAATACCCAAGATGATTCTTAAGTATAATTTTCATTACAATGTGAAATCTTTAACTACACTGTTAATTCCGGGATGAAGCACAGAGGTGTATTTAGCAGTTGATTTTATAACACATTCTAGAATGGATATTTCTTAATTTACTAAAATTGTTTATAGTGTTGTGTTTATTAAGCCAGATTACAGCTATAACACATTGATCATGGTTTCTATGATATTTTCATGGTAGCGCCTATGCTGAATTATCTTCAGCAGCAGTAGAATATTTGTAACAGCTTTAATTTAAGAATATTTTAAAAGTAAATGAACAAAATAAATATTAATGCTGGATGACTAGAGATGAAACAGGTTTAGCAGAAAATTAAGACAACATCATTAAAAAGCAACCGCTCTGAATAAAAGAATCATTTAAAAACAAATTTCATGTGGCATTAGAATTAACTCTTTTCATTTAATCAGTAAAATTCACGCTTAGTTTTCAAGTGAAACATTTTTCAGCAGTGGAATTCATTCTTCTCTCTGGACTTTGATTGCGCTAAAATGGAATTGCGATGTTTTTGGATCTTGTGTTTAAAAAATATGAGATGTCACGTAGAGGCTTGGCAGCCTGCAGCACATTCGTGGTCTCTGCTCAGATGAATTTTGAGCTGAACACCAACAGTTCTCCCCTTGCTGTGCTCAAAAGGAGCTTCTGCCTGTAATTTTCTTGTTTTGTAGCAGCTGCCTTTGCTCCACTCAGCCACTCTTGGAATCTGTAATTTGACAGGGTGAATTGTTGCTCCTGGAGATTTATACCTCGCTGCATTCTAGGAAAGTGAGACAGGTGTTGTTCCCACTAACCGCCAAGATCATCGTATTAGTGACATTCACCTTCCACAGGTCTGAGAAAGAGGGAAGCAGTTTTGGGCATTAATCAGCCTTGGTCATCCCTGGTGCACGCAGACTCATGTCACAACAGATTGCAACTAAGCCTGGGACCATTTCTGAAGCAGCAAACGTGAAAGAGGTTCCTTTCACTGTTCTCAGCTTGGCAATAAGTCCATCAGCAGGAGGAGGTATTCTTAAGGTTATCAGAGTGATTTTTATTTTCAAATTCTGTTCAACCCATAGCACGCCTGACTTACCCCTTTGACTTTGGAATGCCTTTGCTAATTAGAAAGCTCTATTTGTAAAACGAAGTTTCTTTAGTGCATTTAACCAACAAATATAAGTTTGGAAAAAGGCAGCGGCCCAGGCTGCGTACTTGAGTTTCAGGGAGCTCAGAGGCACTCAAAGGCCTCATTCAGACTGACCCGTGGGTACCTTGTGGGCAGGGACTGGGGCAAATCCTGTTCCCTTCAATGTCTACTACACAGTGGGTACTTGATAAGTACTTACTGAGTGAAATATGTAACTATCCAATTTTGAGAGTGCTCAGAAAGGGGAGAGTGGGAAAATTAGTTACCTAGAGATTGTAACTCCTGGCTGTTTACCAAAGTTTGCTGAAGAGAGTGGATCTTAGGCTCTATTTAAATGTGAGGCATAGGCGCTAGGAACACTTTCAAGATAGCCCAGTTGTTGAGGGGCCATGGGAGGTGCGGGGGGGGGGGGTGCGGGGAGGTTGCTGTGTATAGACCAACATTTCCCACTGATGAATTAGAATTTCTGAATGGAGAGAGATAAAAGTTTCCAAATGAGGAATTCAACTTTTAATCTTTGTTTTTCCAATGAACAAGATAAAAGGCAGAGATCAGGATATACCTGCAGAATAAATGCTGCCCTGATACCTTAAGGGAGGGCTGGGGTGTTGTTCATGATTGTGTTTTCTTTTTTTTTTTAATTGGAGTATAATTGCTTGGCAATGTTGTGTTAAGTTTCTGCTGTGCAACAGTGTGAATCAGCTCTACGTGTACATACATCCTCTCCCTCTTGAGGCTCCCTCCCGCCACCTGCCATCACACCTCTCTAGGTCATCACAGAGCCCCGAGCTGAGCTTCCTGTGCTATACACCAGCAAGAAGCCTGTGACGTTTATTTCTGGCCTTGAGTGCTGTGAATTTCACCCAGGCAGGAAATAGTTACTTGCAGGAATTGGGTCCTATTGTAGATGCTGGATGAGACAAAGGATGCCTGTCCCCATGCAGGCCGTGGCCAGTTCTGTCCAGGATTTCTGTTGCACACAGGAGAGTTGTGGCTGAATTTCCCTGTCTGAAATGAATGTAAATCTAAGTGAGGCCATTAAGTGAATATTCCCTGGGTCTGAGCAATGAAATAAAAATCGTGTTTAAAACCCAGTCTCTAGAGATGACTTCAGAAAGACTAAAAGGGAAGTAAGAAGGCGTGTCTTATCTGTAGTTGTGAATAAGGACAAGGTGTCACTTTCCAGCCTCCCCTGATCTCCTTCATGTCCCTCCCAACACATAGCACACATACCCTCCTGCACACACAAGTGTGTTTCTGCACTGTCTCGAGGTCTGGAAGAGAGCATGCTTTTATTAACATACCAGCAAATGGGCGTGTAGGGAGGGACACTTTTCTCAGGCCTCTGAGAGCATATGGGCTCTCTTATCAGAGGGTGACAGTTCTGTGTCAGGATCCAAGGTAGACATGTAGAAAACAAGAGTTGCAATCTGAGGAATGACTTAAGCTGTGTGATGGGATGTCCTGAGGTAAATGTACAGTCTGTAGACCCCTTTGGTCACTCATCTTGAGAAGGACCCTTACAAATCTGTCATGGCTGAGAGCACAGGCCGGTTTTCTGTACCTTCCCTTCTTTCTGGCAACCCAGCTGCTACTTTGGCAGTTCAAGTACGAGCCACTGAGCTGCTCGGGTACAGGCTCCAGTACAAGTGTTTAATAATTGAAATTACAGGGCTTGACTTTTATTACATCTGATGCAGTTCTGTACACCCTTCATCAATTTATGCTAAGGAAATCATTCGGTTCTGAATAACACATTAAGTTTGTAGAATGGGAAACTTTATGAACCAGTGTTGAGGGGGTGGGATTGTTTATAAACTTGAAAGGAGGCTGAAAGAAACAGGGCCTGTCTGTGTACCTGGCAGGATGATAGAGGATGGCCAAGGTCAAAGCTTAACTTTTGACCAAACCAGTTATTTGTAATCAGACGTCAGAAGTGTTTGGGGGCTATTTGAACTTTCAGGTTGATGACAGTCACCCTGCCAAGTAAATGAGGGTGAAAATGATCATTGTAACCAAAAGCTATACTCAGAGCTATTTGGTAATGGCTCCCATCCTGAGTGTGTAGACAAGTCTTGATAGAAATGCATCT